TCATACTTGCTGCTAGACCATCAATTCAGCTAATGAAATGTTATATAACACATATTTTGTTGTCGAAAAGACGATGATATCATGTGAGGGCCTTTTGTACTGAAGGGATGGAGTACATGTTATGAAAGCAATTCTTTTTGCGAATAAATTCTTGCATTACTCGGAGTTTAAATGTGGCAATCTCGTTCTATAAGTTCCTTGACCTCATCTGGTCCAGAGCGTAGCCAAACCATAGTCCGGCGATACACCCTATCAAAATTAGCCAAGGCATGACTAACATTATTACAGCTTCGTTTAACTTTTCATACAGCCCATCATATTGGCGCTTAAATTTACAAATTGAAAAGCTACCACACAGATGCCACATGTACGTACATTTAGAGAAGGGTATTAAATTGTAGAACATGTGATCACGCAAGCTCAGATCAGGGGAAGACAATCCCCTTGGTCTCTGTCCTTTTAATAAACCGAAGTGTAAGCCACGAGGCTGATTAAGTATCGACTTCTCCTCCGTCTCACGCATCTACTTCTCCTGCATCCACCCCCGTTGTATCATTATTTTTTCATGAGGGAATCCCCCGTTGTACACTACTCCTTTTGTTACTATAAACTGGTCTAACCTTTTTTTCCAAATTCATAGTATAATTTAGTGTCTTTGTTCACTCATTTCAGTCACTATGCAATCCATATTAAAATATCTAAAACATCTTATATCTATGGCCGCGGCGTGTGCGGTAATGCCCAAAGAATTTGTTGAAATAAGTCTCGCAGTATATAAATTAATGACAGCATCAGCAGCAGAAATTCTTGAAAGGGGAAGGAGAAAAAAAGACAGCATCAGCAGAAAATTTCCGTGCTCCTAACAGAGTTATCCCAGGGGCGTTTCCGTCATTTCCAAATAAAGAGGCGAAAAAAAATAAAGCGAGGCGTTGAAAAGGGCAGCGAGGTGAGCGCGATGATGACGAAATCTAGAGAGAGGGAGGTGCACCACTAGGGCAGCACTAACGTTGGGTTGCTTTGGAGTCGTGTGCATCACCCTCCTTTCTCTCTCTCCATCTCTCTCTCTCTCTCTGCCCCGGGCCGCGGACTTTCTCTCTCTCTCTCTCCCCGTCGTCGTCCCTCCCACCGAGTCATCCCATCCCACCACGCACCGAACGAAACAGGGGAGACGCCCGTAAAAAAGTATCGATTTCCTCGCGGAGGCATGGAAAAGTCGGAGTTTTTATGCCTGCGGGGGTGCTACTAGTAGTAGTAGTAGTCGGCTCGTGGTGGTGGTGGTGGTGGACCGGTGGCGCTGCGAATCCGAGGGAGTAGAAAGGCGCTCCTCTCCTCTCCTCCGTTTCGCGAGTCAGAGAGAGAGAGGGAGAGGGAGAGGGAGAGTCAGAGAAAGGTTCTAGTCAGAGAGAGAGAGAGAGGTTGGGAGGGAAGAAGGAGGCGGCGGCGGCGATCCCGTCTCTGAGTCTCTGCCCGTCGGGCCTGCTGCTCTCTCCGGCCGGCCGGCCAGCGGCACAGCGCGACCTCGTGCGCGGTGCGTCTCTCTCTCCCCCCCTTTACCCCCTCTTCATTCCTTCTCATGATTCTTCCCCTTTTGGTAATTTTGAAGATTTGGCATGGATCCGCGCCGCTGTGTGGTTTTCGTACGGGATTTTTCCCCTCCCAGCAATTTGTATTTCGTCGTGTAGCCGTATCTGTGACTCTGTATGAGTTACTTCTTATTTGCCCCCTTGTGGTGTTCGTTCGGCGAGTTTAACCGAACTAATTTTGGGCTTTAGGGATCTTCTTATAGTTACTCTTTTTCTTTGTGCGTGTTGGATGGGTTAACTTGCTGCCTTTCGGCTAGCTGCCGCATAGATTTTGATTAGTTTCTTGTGCAGAATCTGCTCCAGTTTTTTATATATAAGTGTGTTGATTAGTTTACTGCGCTGCCTGATTCATCAGGCCATGTGATTTTTGTGAAAAAGAAAAAGAAATCAGGGCATGTGATGCTTCCATGTTGTTTCAGGATTCTTTCCCCAATTTCTGGAACTGTTTGTTTTTGTCTTCCGCTGAATGGTGGGTTGCGGTCAATCTCTTTGAATGTCTTGGCATTTCAGGGGGAATGTTTAGGTAGACTTTGTAGCACACAAGTAAGATGGCTTGGTTTTTCCTCTCTTGCACATTTGAATTATACACCTGGTGGCCACAGTAAATTCCTAATTCTAAATGGTACTATTGCTCAAGCACATGCTGTGAAATATTAATGTAACAAAGCAAGATCATTATGATCCATAGCTTTTTTTTCTTGACAAATGATGTGATCTTGTCATGAACTAGGCTGGGGTACCTGAAAGCTTTAGGCTGCTCATTACTTGGTCAAGGGAGATGATAGATGTGAGGCAAATTAATTGGATCCGTATCTAGTTAACTAGGCTGATCTGGAAAGTTGCTGTTGTACCATCTTGTAGTAGCTTCTTAGGTTTATGATGATATTTCTGTGGTGATGGAGATGCAGACTCTTGCTGCTTTTATTGCTTATGGGAGCGACAGACTAAGTTGACATGCTGCTTTATAACATGCAGGCTGTCATGAAAAGATACATTTGGTAGGCAAAGTTCATTCAGCATGGGTTCAGGAAATCTGGTGATGAAGAAGGTGGTGAAGCCCAGCTCTTTCGACCTCGACATACAACTTGATAAAAGTTGGACGGAGGATGTTACTTGCCCGATCTGTCTTGATTTCCCGCACAACGCGGTCTTGCTGAGGTGCACATCTTATGAGAAGGGTTGCCGGCCGTTCGTATGCGACACCGACAAGTCCCGTTCGAACTGCCTCGAGCGGTTTAAGAGTGCCCATGGGCAGCCGGTGAATGTGAAGGTCTCGGCCGTTAACATCGCTCCCCGTGACAGCATCCATTTCATCTCGTCAAACACAAACAACCACCCGGCTTGCCCGTTGTGTAGAGGCGATGTCATCGGGTGGGCTGTCATCGGCGAGGCACGGCAGCACCTTAACCAGAAGAAAAGATGCTGCGAAGAGAGCTGCTGCTCGTATGTTGGCAACTTCCATGAGCTTCAGAAGCACACCCAGCAGAAGCATCCGAATTCCCGCCCTTCGGAGATCGACCCTGCTCGCCGAGTCGACTGGGAGAATTTCCAGCAGTCGTCCGATATCATCGATGTCTTGAGCACGATACATGCGCAGGTGCCTAACAGCATAGTTCTGGGAGACTATGTCATCGAGTATGGGGACGATGATGCTGGAGACGACTATGAAGTGCTCCACAGGGTCAGGGGAAACTGGTGGACGTCCTGTATTTTCTGCAAGTCGTTCGGGTCTTCGAGAGGCCGAAGAAGAGCAAGGACAAGGGAAAGGAGAAGTGGTGGAAGGAGGAGCGGCAACAGGTCTGGTCAGGAAAGCTTCACCATCGACGTTCCAACCAGAGCTGTTGACATAAGGGAAATCAGATTTGATGGAATAGATGATGAGTATCTTGTTACAGGGGCAATGCCTAGTGCAGCATCCAGGAGAATGGCCAGTCATTACAGGTGTGTGCATATACTTTGCTTCCCCTGTTTACTGTCATTTTTCTAAAAGGGCCGCTTTCTGTCATTGGCATGTGGCTAACAGAATTACCCCTCTGAGTAGTATACCATTTTTATACTTTCAAGGATCAATAAGGTGCCACTTTAACCACTAGTAGATTTTATTGCCCTGAACAATGTCTTTATCCTTTGAAACTCAGCACAAGTGCACGCCACATTTCTAACTGTGAAAACAGTTATATTACTAGAAACTATAACAAATCCTAGCTGCTCATGTTTCACTTCGGCAGTCTCTGACACACCATTTTTTCTTTGTCAATCCAGGGATCCCAGGTATGTCCGCCGACGCGCACACGCCTAGGATCGCAATGCAGCAACAATCAGGAAGTTCAGAAGCATCCCAGCTACACCGCCTGTTTCATTCCTTCTCCCCTTCTCTCTGCTATCCAAGCCCGTATTTCGTGTGCATAGACGATAGCAGCAGGCCTCCCCCGTTATTGTTCACAGGTCTCTACCATTTTTAGGTTCTTCATGTAAATACTTAGCCTTTACCTTATAGCAGTGTTGATCTCGGTTTCCGTCCGCGAAACCATTGTATGTGAAAAACAGCCGCCGCCACGGAAGGGATCTTCCGTGCGCGATAATTGTCATAGAAAGGCTTTGGAATGGATTTCTCTTCCCTGTAGAAAGAAGGTTGTGTGACTGCTGGGTTTGTGCGCTGTGAACTTTCCTTCATTGTTCATCAGCAACAGGTCTTACCATCCATTTCAGGTTCTTCATGTAAATATATAACTTTTGCCACCTTATAGCACCGTCGGGTCTCGGTTCCGGTCCGCGGAACCACCTGTCTGTTCTTCGAAAAACACCGCCGCGAAGATCTTCGTGCGCGACAATCGGTGTGGAAATGTCCCGTGGTAATTGTTATGAAAAAACTGCTCCAACTTTTCTGTGAAAAGGAAGGTTTGTGTGGGTGTTTGGTTGTGTGCTGTGCTCCCCTTGTGCTGCTGGGCTTGTTGCCAAAGAAGAGGCTTCCGTGCTGGGATGTGTCTGAATGAATGCCACTTGTGTACGTACTGTATATCTATCTGACTGCGATTTGCGTGCGGGAGCGGACCTGCCGATGCCCGTCCTGATCCTGAACCTTGTGTGGTTGCTTCCGTCAACCGGTTTCCTGCGTGATTCCGGGTTGACTTGGACTTCCGTTGGGCCGCCGGCCAACGGGTTGAAGATGCGTTTGGGATCCTGTTTGTTTCGCGCTTTCTTTAGAAGATGCAACAGCTGATGATGCTCCGTTAACTTGCTTGCACGGCTTCATCATCGGCTATGGCCACGGAACCTTAGGTTTAGATAGTAATACTACTTGTCATGGTCGCATCAGCATCGGGAGGACTGTTATTTTTAGCAAACTATAAGGTTTGCGCTACGCAATACGGGCACGAAATCGTGGACTTGTGGCGAAACACCCGTGCATTTTACCTCTCACCATATGCTCCAGCATGTTAGCATAGTAAGGGAGGCCATCGCCTTCCGGTTCGGCATATTAGTAGCCGACATGTTGAGCCACCAGTCCTTGATGGAGCGCATCGTCATCCAGGAAGAGATGTCGAGGTAGTCGAGCTTGAGCCAACCCTTGATCATACCCCATAGTCTAATGGAGTACCGGCACTTGAAGAAGATGTGGTTCGCCGTTTCCATCATCTGTTTGCATAGTGGACAGAGGCCACAGTTCGGTCACCCTCTCCTCTCCAGTCTATCCGCCGTCCAGACGTAGTTTTGTATTGCCAGCCATGCATATGTTGACCGATCTGGATCCGTTGTTCTTGAAGAGCTGCTTCGCCGACAGAATAATAAATCACCGGTACTTGGCAAAGTTGGATTGAAGGAGATGATTATCGTGGTTGCTTGGTATATTTGGTGGCAACGCGAGAGTTTGTAAAAAGGGTGGCCGTGGCCCCTCCACCTCGGTCTGCTTTTGCTATTCAAGGTATGGCAACGAACTATGCGAGGGCCTTTTCAAAATCCGAACAACAAATAGTAACATGGTGCAGACCACCAAGACTTTCATATAAGCTGAACATCGATGCATCTTTTATTGAAAATGGAACAGGTGGAGCAGGTGCAGTGCTAAGTAATGCAATTGGCGAAGCTATTGCAGGGGCTTGCGGGCCTCTAGATCGATTACTTGGGCAGCGACAGCGGAGGCAACAACGCTTCGGAAGGGCCTGTACATGATGGAAAAGTTGGGTTGTGTTCCGGTGATAGTTGAAACAGATTCTTTGGAACTTGTACAGGCTTTTGATGGGGTCATTCAGATTCTACATGTCCCCGCTGTGCTGCACCGGTGGAGGATGCTACCCCCTCCACTGCCCATTTGCA